TGGATGCGAGCAAAAGCAATTGATGTCGGATGTTGGCTTATGACGGATGCCGAACATTCGGCTAAAGAAATTGCATTCTCGTTTGGGAAAGCCCGGGGAAAAACTGTGAGGGGGTAAATTACATATTCGCAGGAGAGTCCATTTTTGACTTGAACTGAGGAATGTGCAAGTTTATCCAAGGTGTGTAATGTAATATTTATGTGGGAGAGGTCAGGGAAGCCCAGCAGACGGGGGATAAAATTTCTCTTTTCTAGGGATTAAATATTTATGCTACATAACTCATTCCAAGTTTTATTTGACATTTTCTTCAGGCACTCAAAATAAAGGGTGATTCAGTATTCAAGATAAGACTAACAAGTACCAAAAATAAAGTCATGTAATTGTTGAGACAATTTGAACAAGAAGTTGATGGAGAGATTCTCATTAATCGAATAATAAAATTGTACTTTGAATCAATATTTAAATGTGAAAGAAAATATTTCTAAGCGGAATATTTGAATTTTCCATTTCTGGAATTTAAAACTCGATGAAATATATAAAAAGGTTTCAAAAAGTATTTTTTACTTATATTTTAAGTTAATTCTAACTTTTTTCTGGGAATATTGGATACTAAATTTACTTTTATAATTATGTTTAGACCGATCTTGCGTTTATAATTCAAGGGTCCACAAGAAACTATTTAATGCCATTATAAACAATAAATACATTTAGGAACAGAAAAGTCCTAATGGAAACAAAATGCTTTCCGTTTACCTACTACATTTTCACAAAAGGGAACCTGAATAAAGTGGCACCTTTTCTGTATATCTCCCACATTTTCACAAGAGAAAACTTTCGATCTTTTGGAACACATACACACATTAAGTAATAAATGTTTAATAAAAATAGCCTTCAGCGAAGGACACTCACCTCTGATGAAGTCAAATAGCACATCCTCGAATCAGTGCTCTCGATGGAAGCCTGTTGAACAATTCCGTAGCGTGACTCGCGATCACTCAAATACTCCGATCGCAAACTATCTTGACGTATGAATTCAGCTCTGAAAAATATAAATTCCGATTAGTACAAATATTGTTTAGCTTTAATAATTTTAACGGAAACTTAGAGTAACTTCTTGAAATCTATACTTTTGGCTATTTTAATATTGATTTCAAATCTTTCCTTCAATTCATATTCATTATTAATACGCACCGTTGCTCTAGTGAATCGGCACGTGCACTCTTGTAGCCCGAATCATTGAGGCTGCTGTCCTGCCGCAAGGATGGCAATGAGTCCCATGGCGATCGCTTATGCCCGGAACCAGGAACCTGCTGGGCCATCATGCCGTGACCCGAACCGGAGCCAATGGTAGAGCTGCCGGAACGCCAGCCATCCGAGTGGCGGAACCACTGGGCTCGGGCCGATTCGCCAATGCAAGAGGCGCAACGCGAATTGGAGAAACTAACAAGAGATTGAGGGAAATTAACTAGGATTTCCCATGGGTTTTTATGATAACTTACCTGGCATTATGATCCGATAAATATCCACGATCACGTTCGCGCTCCCTTTCCCGTATCAACTCGTTGCGATCACTGTAATAACCATCACGATCGCGATCCCTTTCTTTGTCCCGAATTGTAGACAATGGTCGATGTGGCGGCAATGGCAACGTGGAAGATTTTGAATTGGCTGATGGAGGAATATATACAAAAGTTGAATAAGTATTATACATAATAAAATTACATCCTAATTGAAGGCATTCCAAAAAGCTATGATAGGCAAGCAATTTCATTCACTCGAGCTAGATGTCGATATCGATGTTGAGATCAAGATCGGGTGAATATAAGCAGGAGCATTGAATCTGGAAGAGATCGTGCGGACTTGGAATGGAACTACTTACGCCTACGAAGTGGATATGGGCTGCGCTGGTTCGATCCGGGTAGGCTTTCAGCGAATTCTGATGATGGTTGTTGTTTGGTTGAGATATTGGTGTTGATATAGTTGTTGGAGGTGTTGTTGATTGGTAGTTGGTTGTTGGTTGTTGATTAGTTGTTGATGTGTCGGTGGGCAATGCGAGGAGAGTAATGGATAATGAAGCATTTTATGGCGTGACGTGGATAGCATTTATGTATGTATTATTATAAAGGTATATATAGGCAAAAATACATATTATGACAACGTAAGTTTGAGTAGAGAGATAAGCAAATCAGTAGTAAATTATTTTTTGCATTGCATGTGTAAGTTAAGAAATTATTGTTACACACTTAGACTTTTTGGGAATTAATTGGAAAGCGAAAAATTAATCCTCAATCCTCCTTTTGTTTACTTAATAGGGTGACTAATATATCTGTAATAATGTTCAATGGCTTTTAAAACTTAGTTAAGTCAGCTATGGCTTTTTATCGAGAATTGTACAGAATTGTATTACGGAACATTTGTATTATTATTATTTTACTATTGAATAACGCATTTAAAGCTCTTTGAAAGTGTAAAGCTAGTTTCCTCTTTGCCTAAAGCATTCTTTATTTTATTCCGATTCCCTAACCAATCCTCCTCAATTACAACATTCCATTCTACGCTAAACATTCTCATTCTCCCATTTAATCAGATTATCAACCCATTCCCATTTGCAATGGCAATCCACCACCGAGTGAAACACCTGACTTGATTAGGCCACTGACATGGGTTCGATTGAATGACTGACAGACAGGTTGATATACCCGTGGAACATAGCGTTTTTTTTTTTTCAAAGGGAATTTCGCTACCCCAAAAGCTAATTAAAAAGAAATTCAATTAAGCGAAGCGGAAAGGAGGAAAACGAAACGCTCAGCTACAACAACAACGAGAGAACGGAAGTTAAATGAAAAGTTAACTAAAGCATGGCCTAAACCAAAGGGAGAACCTATTAAGCAACTCACCCAGATTCTCCATGCTCTGCGAGAGCAGAGCCTCGAAGGTATGCAAGCTATATGACTCAGCATCCATGCCCTTGGCCAGGGTGTTCCTCAGATGCATCTCATACTCCAGAAGCAGTCGCGAAGTGGGGCTACCCGGAGTGGGGGTAACATTCGGGGCCTGCTGATGGTGATGCTGCGGATGATGCCGCGACGACCGCTGCGGCGGTCCTTGCTGTGGATGCTGCTGATGCTGACCATGCTGTTGGTGCTGTTGCTGTTGCTGCTGGCCCGAGGATTGCTGCTGGCCATAGGACTGGTCCTGGTCCGAGTTGCCATTGCTCGAGCTGGGCGTTGTGGCGTAGCACTGGTTGTCAAACATTACGTTGTCTGAGGGTGGCGAGCCCTCGATGCAGCTCCGTTCGCGCTCCAGCTCCAAGTAGAGATTGCGCGGCGGATAGCCACGTCCGATTTCATGGGAAGACCTGGTCAAAGGAGAGTTTAGTTAGTATAAGGCACTTCTTTTATAACGGAGCGGGGAAAAGGTGGTACAGGTTAAATTCACATAAAAATCTTCCAGAGCACCAAATATTTGTGAGAATGTAACCCGTTCAACGGTTCACATCCCTGTGGCAAGCAGAAAACTCCCGTACACCCACCTCGAACCGGAGAAGCGCGACGACTGACTGCTCGCCCGGCCCATCGTGTTGTTGTTCATGAGGTGATGGCCACCACCGCCGCCGCCTCCACCCATGCCACCGCCCATACCCATGCCCATGCCCATGCCGTGCTGGTGCATGTGCGGCGGGTGGCCCAGGGTCTGGGCCGCGTTGGCGTTGTAGTAGTTATAGCGCCGTCGGCCCATCTCGGGCGAGGTCACCGGCGACTCGGTGCTGGGCATCGGCTTCAGCATGCGTTTCAGGGTGCTGGTGTCCACGTTCATGTCCTCGGTGCTCTTGGTCTTCCGCCGGGTGTTGTTGTTGATAACATTATGCTGGTGCATGTCGTGCGAGTGCCCGTCACGTGTCTGTGGAGGAGCAAAGGCGAAAATTGGGTTAGGTTTGAGTCGGACATCGTGTGCGGACGGCTCGTTTGGTAGAAAATTATGGGGAGGGTCAACAATTATGTTCACAAAACTCACTTCCAAGCGATTTCCCGCGGAAAATCTACTTTTACCGCCATTTTAAGAGCGAGACACTTTAATAACTTCACTACTCAATTTGGACAATAAGAATAGGTTTGTGGTGGGTATTATTGAATTACGCTAAGCTGGCCACACTTAAAGCGCGCCATCTTGTCGAGAGAGGATCCCTCTTATTGAAAATTTGTGAAAATTTCTAATTCATCAATTAAATTGTTTCTCCATGTAATAATTATGGGAAGGGTCCATAGTTATGTTCACAAAACTCATTTCCAAGCGATTTCCCGATGAAAATCTATTTTTACCGCCATTTTAGGAGCAAGACGCTTTAATAACTTCAATACTCATTTTAGGTTTGTGGTGGGTATTTTGGAATTAAGCTAATCTGGCCACACTAAAGGCGCGCCATCTTGTCGAAAGAGGATCACTCTTATTGAAAGTTTGTGAAAATTTTAAATTTATCTCTTAATTTGTGTGTTGCGCCGCGTAAATATTCATCGAAATCACTATATACTAACCATATCATCGCCGAAATCCTTGGTGCGAGTGCCTGTACCCTTGGAAGAGGAGGTGCATGTGCCCACGCTCTGGTGCAGGCCGCCGCCCGCCTGTGTTCCCTCGCTTTTCGACAAATCCATGTCCATTTGGCACGAAGCAGGATCATCGCTGCCCACCTGGGAGCCCACATGGTTCTGGCCGCACATGTCGGTGCCCACATTGCCCACGCCGGTGACAATCACACCCGGAGTGTTGGTATTTACGCCGGCATTGCTTACATCCTGTCTGTCCTGCTGGCTGCCCTTCATGCGGGGCAAAGTTTCTAAAGAAAAAAGCGGAAAAGTGAGCTTCTCTTCAGGAGCTACCAGCAAAGAGGTCTTACCTGCTCCCTGGGCTGTTCCTGGACCGCCACTGGCCACGTTGTCGTAGAGCGAGGTGCTGCTCACGGCGCTGACCACCTTGCCGCTGCCCACCTGCTGCTGGCCATCGACATGATCGCTGATCCGGTGCGAACCGACGTTTCGCGGAAGCGTGGATGAACCTGCAACGAGGATGGCGGTGAGTTTTGATGGGTGGGGATGCGGTGGATCTGGTCGCCTAGTCGCTAAACTCGGAGTATTGGAGTATTTGGAGTTTTGAGTTTCAAGTGGCAAAGGAAAAGAAAATGGCTTCAAGGGGCGGACCTGCTTGCAGACCGGTCTTGACATTGCATTGCTTTAGGGACTTGGTACTGCGTGTGTGCGTGTATTTTTGATAGGTTCTTTTGGTAGGTCTTGTTGTAGTTGTAGTTAGTTCTCACCTCTAACACGGGGATCGGTTCGCAGGCGCGCATACTGCTCCGCGGACATGCAGGTGCACTGGGGCTCCTGGCGGACGCGCGACGGCGACGCCGGAGTGCTGAGCGGCTTTCGCTTGGCCTTCACCTTGCCCTTGCCGGGGGGGTCCAGTTTCAGCGAGTACGACGACGAGGCCTTTCGTGAAAATTTGAAAGAAGGCGACTGTAAAACGTCGCACTATCATTAGGTTAGTTGATTGGGATAACAAGGTTCTGTGTGTGCGGTTTCTCCTCTTTCTACTCAATCTCCTCTCACTGTCTCTCTTTTTGTCTCTCTCCTAGATCGGGGCTCTCTCGCGGAGATGTTGTGCCCAGGCTATGACCCAGAGGTCAACCCGGCGAAACTGGCGTGTCAGTGTGTTGGATATACTGGATAGATAGTGTGTTCTGAAATATCTTAGAGAACGTCTACGAGAGCAGCAGTAGTAGTACATATAGATGGTGCAGGAAGAATAGTACTTAGATTTGAAGCTTGACTTTGGGTGCTGAAAGCCTTTGTTCTACGATATCTAGATAGTGAAAACAGTTAGTCGCAAATACGGAATACGGATACGGAGTAGTTTCGATAGCAAATAGAGTAGCAGTGTGTATGTGTGGGACACAAACGAACATAGTTATAGTTAATAATTATATATATATTGTAATTGGGATCTCCGAATTATCCTCTATCAGCGCTCGGCGCAAATAACTTGTTTTATATAGCCATTTAGATGGAGCATTGACTTAGCCTAGCGTTAACATTGCTTTTTGATTATACAAACTTGATTCTAGAATTCCATTTTGATTTGGCTTTGGGTTTAACTCTTAACAATTTATTGTAAGCATGTGCGTGGCTCGAGTATATATCTATATAGAATATATATTTAAGTTCCATTAGCTTGGATTCAATTTGGTTTCAGAAACCTCCATGGAAGCCGCCTTCGAGGCGATAAATGATGCTCCAAGAATATATATATGGTATCTTTCTCTCACTAACTCTGACTGTCTAACTCTAGCTCTCTCTGGAGTGATACTGGTTTTGATTTTTGAAAATTGCTTCGATTCGTAAACCGCCCACTGGCATGGGATCTCGGAGTGGAGGAGGATGGATCAGGATTACCGGGACATTGGGTTTGGGGTCGGGTTCGGGATCGGATTAGGGCTCGTCGGAAACGGATTGTAGGGGATAGGTAACGGTATTGTAGTAGAGGATACGTGCGATTGTTTTAAAGCGTTTTGCGTTTTTCTTTTGCATTTTCATTTGTACAATTCCATAGTTTTTTTTTATACATCATTCATATATATCGATTGTCGTTTTGTTCAATTTTAATTTTAAATTCAATTTAATTTACACATTCATTTTAAATAGTTGCGTTGTTTTCAATTGTTTCGGAAATTTTGTTTAGTTTTTCAGGTTGGTTTATGGCACACGTGAAATGCAAACGAATCGATTTGAAAATATATTTATACATACATAAATATATATTTAGAGTTAGTTAAATAAAATTATTGTTAGAGATAATAAAAGCATTTCGAAGAGGGGGTTAAAACGGGGTTCATATATAGAATAGATTTCAGACAGAATCGTGGTGTACATTCAGAATGTTTATTAATCGGGGTTTATTGGTATTGTTGTTGTAAGTTGAGTTGTTGTTGAGTTTTGTTGTTGTGTTTTATATATATATATTTTATTTAGCATAAATTTCGAAAGAAACATCCGTCGGTTTTTGATTTTATTTTTCGGTATCGGTTGTTTTTGAAAATGTTTCGAATTGAAGTACGAAATGAAATGCATTAAAAATGAAATATTGCGAAGGATTGTTTTTTCAGTATTTTGAGTTTGGCGTGTTTCGATAATGATTTCGAAAAATGATTAGAAGAGAGAAAAAGAAATGAAAGAATATATAATATAAATACATTTAACAAATTTTAGTGTGTGTGTGTGTGTGTGTGTGGTGTGTGTGTCGTGTCTCTGTCTGAGTTCGGTGTCGGATATTCAGGTGTTATCGGATAGTTTGCGCTGTTCATCTTTGCACTTGGATGAGTCACATTTACAAATGAGTCCTGGGACCGGCTGCTCCAGGTGAGCACCGATTCCGGAGCACCGATAGTGAGGGTGGAGCTGGGGGTGGTTGGGTGGTTCATAGTGGTTGTTGCATTGGGTTTGGTGGACACACACATAGAGCAGAAAAGTTACAACAAATACGACACTCATTATTATGTTCTGGTCTGTGTTCGGTGTACACTTATGGAAGGATCTTAAACTCATGCCCAGTGACAGTGGAGAACAGAGGATGGAACGAACAGAGATTCTCAAGGGGAACTACACTTTAACATTATCTCTCTCACTCTCTCTGCGATCGAAAAAAGACAGGAATTGTTGTATTGCAGTGTGTGTTGGTGTGTGTACACTGTGAGAAAATAAATATGAAGCGATACTAACGTATTTTTTTACAATGTAAGATACCTGCAACAAATGATGCGCAAAGTAAGAAAAGAAAACGAAACAATTATTAGACTTGGCTAGTCCAGACAGATCATTGTTTGACTACATAATATTAGAGTTCTATATATTAATAGGCATATTATGAGTGTGTACATAGATGGGTTCGAGCTGCAGTTTGAGGTGTGGTTCTTGAGATGACAGGTCAGAAATTAAGTTCACATATCTCGATTGTTATTATATGCGGGCTCAGATTGTTTACAATTTATTTGGGTCAGACAGCAAGGACTGAGGTTATTATTTACAAATATCTTTGGATTTCTATACTTTAGATATTATTTACAACACCTTTTGGTATTTAGGTTAATGGGTATTCAAAACGGACAGAAACTACTCATTAATTTGTTTAATTATCTCACATTTCTTTCTCAATTTCTGACAATTTTTTGAATGAGTTTTCCCTCAATTGTTTTCTCCCGGTGCATGTCTCTGTATTTGTGCTGTGTTAACATGTTTGTGAGTGTTTTTCTACAAATACTATAATTACTTTACTTGGCCAAATTTTAGAGGGGAAATATCTAGTAAAAACGCAAATATTCACATAAAATTAAACAGGATTTTTGAAACTAAACAGAACAAAACGAAAAAAGAATTTTTATCAAGTTTTAGCGTACCAATTTGTATCAAATCGTCAGGTTTATATTAACTAATTAGCGAGTACAAGGAAGAGTTATGTTTTTTGGTGCGTGTATCTGTGAGTTTCGTTGATGCAGGACGAATGACAATGACGGTGATTGTGGGACTCGGTTTATGCATTGATTTAAGATTTATTAAATGCATCTTTATGCTCTTTAAAAGCAGTATTTAATATATTTTAAAACATTAGGAAGGCTTCGATTCCTCTTTGATAAATTCTGAGCTCTTAAGAGTGCTTCAATTTCTTTAAAGAACATTTGAGAGAATAAATGCTAATAATTCATTTTTACAAATAGTAGAAACATGAATTCATGAGTGAAAATACGGGAATTTCTATTTGAACAATATTTTCTTTTAATTTTTAAATAAAAACATCTTAAATGTTCACTTTTCAATTCAAAAACTTGTTTTTGAGCTTCTTTTTTTATACTTTTCGATTAATTTATGTTATTGCCCGGCATAAACTGTGAGTGTGACTGTGACAATGACAGTGACCGTGACTCTGCGGTGACAGTGAGCGGCGAATGAAGAGCTTAATTATGATTTCATCTTCAGATTTGGTCGAGTGCTTGCTTGGTTGCATCGAACCAAGCGATTGATTATGGATGCTTTTCGAGTACACAGTTAGGGAGATGTGTGTGTCTGTGTGTGTGTGTGTTTGTTTTGTATGCAAATCAAACATCGACTGGCTCTCTCGGCTCTTGGCCCTAAGCATCATTGGCATCATCATCATCATCATCATCACTATCACCAGTCATCGCCATCGCCAGCATCTCGGAACTCTTGGTCTTGGTCTGAGTGTGTGTGGATGTTATGTGGGTGTATGCTTGGGTGGTTGGTTCTTTGGTTTCTGACTTGGTTCGGTGGTACTTGGTACTTGGTTCTTGGTTCTGGTGGGGATGGTGGCTCAGCTGAGTGCTCCAGCTGGCGGGCATGATTATAGCTCGCCGCCAGACCTCTGTTAGTGTTTGCTGTATTAGTTGGTGGGTGGCTGAGGTTTGCGGTATCGGTATCAGTTGAGGTTGGTTTGAATTTAATTTCGATTTTGTTTTTTCTTTTGGCTGTTTTTTTGTATTTTTTTTTTTATATCAAATATTTTTTTTTACGCTTTGTCGCATGTTTTTTTTACTGGGCTTGCGGCCATAAGACCGTAAGAGAATACTTACACAGCACTCGCGGAACTGTTTGGCATCGATGGGCGACGTGAAGTTCAGGCCCCAAGTGTCGTTGGTCATGGGGTCCTTCCAGTAGACAAAACATTCCGATGCCTGGCCAATGCGTGTACCTAAAGGGGTTGGAGAAGGAGGAAGAGGAGCGGGATAGATTGGATCTAGTGCTGGTTGGAGTTGGAGCAATGTGCACTCACCTGGCTGCACAAGTCTCACATCAAGTATCTTGTCCACCTGGCTGTTGTACGCGGTGATGTGAAATATGCACTCGGGCGAGTCCTGAATGCAGGTGATGTTCACAGGAACCAAATCCTCGGACACTTGTTGCCATTTGACGGTGCCGGCCCCACTGGCGGACACATGGAAGACCTCAGCCCACAACCTGAACGAACTATCGTTGGTTAATTAAGTTTCAACAATGTTTATGTCGGTTGTTGTAAATCCGATTTGAATTTGGTGCACCCAACAATTGTTAGATTTTGTTTTTAGTTTCGAACGTTAATTGATTGGGTTTGGAGAGGAAAATTGGGAAAACAAAGAAACGCATTGTTGTTATAGTTGGTTGGTTGTTGTAGTTGTAGTTGTAGTTGTTGCAGTCATAGGTAGGAAGGAAAAGTTGAAGCAGGATACATTGGTTGTAGTTGTAGTTGTAGTTGGTTGTGACATCAATTTGTTGTGTGTGGTTTTGAGGTGTTTATTTTTCGATTTTAGTAATCATTTTTTTATATATATTTTTTTTTTTGTGAAAGAAAGAAAAACCAGAAGAAGAACACAATTAGTTGGTTTGGAAAAAAGTTATCGAAAGAGCGAATTCAATTGTGGTTCAGTTGTAGGTAGTGGCGGTGGAGGTAGCTTTGCCCCGTTTCAACAGTCATGGGACAAAGGAAAGTAAACAAAATCAACCGAGTTCTAGTCAGTCAGGTCGGCGGAAAGGAGAAGAGTTCAGCCCCATGGACGCACCTCAGTAGATGACCATCACGGCGACGGGAGCTTTGCCAGGGTGAATCCTCATAGCGATAGGCCTTGCGCATAAGCGGGGCACAGGAGCAGCTCAGTTTGTTACCCATGGCGCAGTTGGCGCAGCTCGCCGCAGATCCTTTTGGGATGAAATGATGAATACTGGTTGAGTTTGGAGAAGATTGAGAGTGTGCTTACCTTTACCAGAGGCACCCCGATGTCACCACATACCGCTCACGTCCGCCTGCGAGAGCGCCTGTCCGCGGTTCAGCGACTGCGATCGCTGATTGTGCCGATGGCCGTGGTAGCGACTTCCGCGCTGTAAAATAATTATAAATAAATAATAAGGAGGCAGATTAGTTTAGTTTTCAACATTATTTATATATGTTGTACTTTATGAGTAAAATTTAGGAGCATTTACAAGACATTTCGATCTCATTTTAACAAGTAGAAAGTCATATTTAGAGGAACAAAGAGGGACATCTTAGCAAGGTCTACTGCTTGTCAGTAGTAATTCACTATTATTTCCATTATTGCTATTGTCACTATTATTTCCAATAGAATTCAGGTGAATGTACAGATCGGTCAGAAGTAGTTATGAACAAAATGGTAATGACTATCCAAGTATTTGGGTCTAGGTCCAAGCTTCTCTATAATAATGTCAAATAATCAAAGGTTTTGCATTGGTATTTCAATAATTCATCTTTAACATTTGAACTCCATAATGCACATTTCCAATTTTAATATCTCTGACTGAACTGCTCTCCATTTCATTCAAAATATTCCTCTGTCGGATTATGCTTCAGCTATATTTCTTTAAAGATAAGTCCCAGGAAATGCAGACAACTCAGTGGGTAGTCGTGTAATAAACACTGTTTTTAGTTAACATTAAGCTGTAATAAATTGTTCAGATACTCGGTTGAAGGCTGCACAGCAAGTCTCAGTCTCAGATTGAAGCGTTGAAGCAACCCACGCCGCGGTTTATTATCATCATACAGCCAGCCAGGTAGACCGAGAGGTGCGAACGCTGTTGCAGCAACATTTCCACTTCCACTTTACTTCCCCTGTTGCCGCAAAAGAAAAGCTGCTGTGTGTAGGTGTCAAAAACAAAAGCGATGCATAACGATGTAAGGCGGAAAATGTTCTTTGAAGTTGTTGCTTTTGATTTTGATTTAGATCAGATTTTACTTATGATTTTACTCGGGCACTGAATGCGATGCAAAATCCGAGGTGAGATATGGGGGCACTATTTATTTTTATGCGGATTTAATTTTTATAAATATTCAGTGTCTGGTCCATATGTTGGCCACATTGTTCGCACACATTTAGGACGTTATAAAAGAGATATTTAGATATATATATATATATATGTGATAAATCTATTAATTTATATATCTATTTTTGTTTACATCGCTTGGCCTAGACACCTGTTTCACAAAGTTGCCGGCTTCCAACCAGCTCGAATTGCGGTTAGCGGAACTCAAAAAGGCCAAAACAACATCACAAATGCACGTCGCGGAGTCAACTAAACCAAAGAAAATCGAAATCAAAACGAATTTTCATCTCTCAGATAGTTTTTTTGCTCTCCGATCTCCAATCTCTTGGCGTCTCGAGAGTACCACCATGACGCCCACATGGCGATCTCTCAAGAGATCAGGTCACCAGAGAGAGATATGCTGGGGAAGCACATGAAACACGCGATCATCAAGTGGACCATGGGAAGTGTATCTCAATGGGCATCCGGAATAGGGGGAGCATGGAAAATGGGGAAAATGGGACTGCCTTTCGGTTCTCTCTATCTATACGTTCGCGTGCTGGCTGCACGTGTTGTTGTCGAATTTATTTTTAAAATCAATCAAAAGACGAGGAGATCTCCACTCTCCTCGCTCTCGCTCGGGAAATGCAATGGGGTTCGGAAAAGGCGTGACACACATTTTGGGGGCGATGAGAGACACACCAAATGGGATCATCAAGTTGTTGACAATATTAGAGGGCACTTTATGGGATCCTTTCGGGTGTAGAGGCACTGGCACTTATTTAAAGAGCAATTTTTATGGCTAGTTTCTTACATTTGTGTCTTGATCTGTTTTTATTTTTATTTTGGTCAAACTGTTTTTACTATAATGAATAATGTTTACGAGAACATTGTGTAAAATAAGTTTGTTATGGTATACCCATGAATGGGTTTTATAATTTCAGTTAGAAGCATGCAAAGCCGTGAAGGATTCGTTTCCGACCCTATAAATCATACATATTCTTGATCAGCATCAAAAGCCGAGTCGAAAAAGCCATCTCAGATAGAAAAAAAATGTTCACAAATTTTTTAAAAATTTTATAAGGGGTTACATCGTCAAAATTTTCAAAAATGGACAAAAATTCAATATCTTTTAAATATTAAATTTAGAATGCAGATTTATAAACCAAATAAAAACTAACATAGGAAAGCTTTCCGAACTAAAATTACTGATTTTTTGACTTAGTTATGAGTTTTTAAAATTTCGATTTGTCGTAAAAATTGACATATTAATAAAACGTTAAATATAGATTCAAAAAATGCGAATATGTTAAGCCTAGTTATGATTAATTTCCGATTTGATACTATAATTCATTTGCAAACTGCAAGGGTGTATAAACTTCGGCTTTGCTTTCTCTTTTGTTATTGAAATACTTGTGTAATATACTGATTTTTGAAACTGTTTATTTAACATTTAATACAATATTAAATACCAAATGAACATAAACTTTAAGACAAATATTAGATAACTTTTAAAGTTCTAAACTGTATTTAATTTAGAATCGCAAAGCTTTGCAGTAAAATGATTTCAGAAATATATATGTATAGCAATAATAGGCCATATGATACTATTTCTAAGAATCTTTTCGAATGTTCACCTTAAATGAACCATAAATATGGTAGTTTTTATGACTTTTAAAATACTATTTCGTTTAAAATCTTTTGTTTTGCTAACAATATATAGCTATAGCTTTGTTTTGGGGAATTTATGTATAGGTAATTAAGTTTTTTTTATATAGATATATAGATAATACACACCTCCACATGGCCCCAGCCATCGGCGTTCATTTTGGCGGCTGCCTCGACACTTTCCTTGGCGCCCATTGTTTTGTTTGTGAGTGCTTAAGATTGCGTTCAGTTTGGTTGATGTTTTCCTATGGAAATTGTATCGCTATTCGCGTTTTCTCTTTTTCTCGTGTTCCCCCCTTTGTCGTTTTTCTTTTACTTTTTTTTGTGACGGCCCTTTAAGTGCTTTCAGGATTCGGGCAGCTGTCAGATGTTATTTATTTTGGGCCCCAGCGAAGGACCAGGAGCGTCTGCGTTGTGAATCCGGTCAGGAGTCCTGCTCGTGGGCCAGGCTCGACTCGGTTCAATGTATAAATATTGAGCGGATTGACGTTGACGTCGTTGCTCCTGCTGTCTCACACACACACACACGCTCGCCCACAAAGGACCTTTCTCTCTTTGACTCTCTCTCTCTCTGTGTGTCGCTGTGCGAAGGAGCAAGGGATGCTGGGCCGTTGAAGGCGGCTTTCAATCGACTTTCGTCGGGTTGAAAGGCGTGCTGACGTTGAAAGCAGTTAAATAATAGAACAGGAGCATGTCCTGCCCGTCGTATGCGTGTGTGTGTGTGTGATATATCCTGCTGGTATGTCCTGGCCTATATGGCGTATACGCGTTTGTGTGGCAAGTGTATTATTTATGCAGCAGAATGTTCTTGCTGATGCTGCTGCCTTTTGCCTTTTCTCCTCCTCTGGAGGCTTCTTATCCCTTTGTTTGTCCTTTATTTTCGTTGTTTTTCGGGCCTTTTTCCGTTTCTTTGCTTTTCAGATAGTTTTTCACTTGGTGCGTGTGATTATTCTTTGTATAATTTTAGTTGATATTTTCTTGTGGTTTTTAGGTTTTTAGTCCTTGTTATTTTCTCTAGTTTAAGATCCTAGATTAAAGATTTGATTAGGGTTTTAGCTGAATCCTTGTTGTGTTATCCATTTGGCAACGCCTTTTGCAGCCCACCGAAAAAAAGCGTAGGCGTTCTTTCGTCGATTTTAGAAACCAATTTTGAATGCTTTTTAAGGATCACTTTTCACTTATTTGTTTAGGAAATTATTCGGTGTGTTTTCTAGTGATTTTGGTTGTGGAACTATTTGAATTTTTCGTTTTTTTCTGCCCACAAAAGGAGCAGGATGAAGGCGCTGTGTATATTTTCGTGTAGCCAAAATACCTACAAAACTTGACGAAGCCCCAACGAGATGTTTTCACTTGACGAAGCGGGAGAGGAGCAGAGCTAGGGCAGAGCGGAAAAAGAGCGGCGAAAGAGAGCAAAGTGGAGCAGGAGCAGGATGAGCGTTGTCGAATTACAGCGTCAGCCGAAAATTGCACCCCCTTTCTCTCTCGCCTGCGCGCCCCTCCGAACATATATTTTAATTTCGATTTCTTTCTTGCTTCTTCCTCCTCCGTCGTTATCCTTTATTTTGTATTCCTCTTGCTTCGCTCCTCTTCGCCTCTGTCCCTAAGAGTGTGTGTATGTGTCTGTCTATGTGTGTGTGTGAGTGGGGCTTAGCTTAGAGGTATGTGCAGTGGCTTTGACCCCCCCCCTGTCGACCCCCCTCTCTCTGCTGCTACTACGGCTGCTGCTGCTGCTGCTGCGTGTGTGCCTCAAAAAAGTTGCATAAATCACCACACCTTAATTTACTTAAATGTCGTTTTTCTCGCCCGTTTCTTATGTTATTTTTTTAAACACGTTTAATTCATACTCGCTCTGGCCTTGTGGGCGTTTTTTTTTTTCCTTTTCAACGCGGCACAAAAGTATGCTACACTTTTTCTTAGATATCTTGATTTTCGTAAAGGAAAGTGGAGAGGTTGTGCTTATTGGGGTTTTTATTTAGTTATTTCTGTGTGGTTTTCGGTTATTGGGTTAATGGTTAAAAGCTTTATTTTGTTTAGGCTATTATTATTATATATATTTTCAAGCAGGAAAAAAGCGACACAACCGTCGACGTCGACTTCGAAATTCGTTTTGAGACTCTCTGCCATGCAGAGGGATGCTGCGACGCCGGCTGCGACGTTGGCCGCGACAGCGACGGCGCTGCAACTGTTGGAATGTGTGCCACACACACACACACATGCCAGCACGCACACCCGCACACACACACACATACCTTTTCTGGGGTGGCTCTGGTTGTTGTTTTTGGGAATTTCATGTTACATGTGCGCGCTGCTGCGAAAGTTTTAATGTCTCCCCAATGCACGCGCCTGTGTGTGTGTGTGTGCGTGTGTGTTAATGTAATATTAATGTTATAATTTGCTAGGCGGAAAGGACAACGAACGTGCCGAGCGCTAAGAGGACATCAATAATGCAGCCAAAAATATAACGGGGTAATGCCAGTGTTGTGGAGTGGGGGAGGGGGGTGAGGTTATAGTGGGTGTGGGGTGGTGAGGTGGTGCCGTTATTTTGCGGAGCATGCCAATTAGGGACAAACTCCCTCCATTTTCCAACACTGGGAAAAGTTCGAGCCGCACGTTCCACATGCCACAAAGTAAAAGTGAAAAGCAACATCAAAATTAATAAGTAGAAAGGATGCTGACGTTGGCCGAGCAGTCGCAGTTGCTGTCAACGTCGCTGTGGCAAACGAGAGAGACATAGGCAGAGAGCGAGTGAAAGATAGGAAGAGTCCTTGCGCCGTTTCAATATTTAACGAAGCCTTCGGTCAGCCATGGCAGCAACCAACTAAAATATTCTCATCAAGTCTGGCAACCTCTATTTCAGGAGCCTTTTAAGTGGAGGATAGTATCGATAAATTCTTCTACCTATAAATGTGGCAACGCTACTGCCGCGATTGGTCCGCCTATCGACTATTGTTATCAATTTGAGAAGACAAAAACAATAACAAAAACGACGCCGCCAGAGTTTAAAAGTAAACTTTTTAAAAAAGCAAATTTACAAGAAATGCTGGTGGCCAGGGGCAAGGCGAAAAGGCTGGGCACCTATCCCAGCTCTGATGTGGGCCCCGTGGCAAAGGGTTAGTATGGGAAATCAAGATATTAATGACTTCTTTCACCTAATGATTTCCATGTGTTTATCTTTTACAGAATATAATTTACTACGCGCTGATGAAGAGTACCGTAATGGCAATGTGGAGCACTCCATTTACTACCAGGTCAAGGCTCAGTTCCAGTCCACGGATCTACGCTACATCACCGAGGCGGAGGAACTGCAGAAGCAGCGTCCCACAACGGAGCAGCTACTCCAAGTGGCCTCCAAGCAGGAGAAGAGTGACTTTAAAAGGTATTTCACTTGAAAAAACATTTAATAACTAACATATTAAAAGCCTTTTTGTTAGCAACCAATTTCTGCAGAACACCCTCAAGTATGTGCAGCAAAAGGAGCGTGAAAACCCTCCAAAGAAACTACCATTGAGTGCCCTCGAGCACCTGGACTTCCTGGAGGATGTGGAACAGCCCGCAGAGGGTCTAAAGCGCATCTCGAACATTTGCCAACGCCTGCCCAATGAGTGGTGCATACTGCAGCTCTGCAAGAGCTTCAATCCCGCCACCACCTACTCTGTGTTCAATGAGATTCAGCCAAGCCCTGGGGCCATATATCTCTCGCTACTCAGCCACTGTCGCAGTCCCCAGTTGGGGCCAATTTGTCTGCGTTTCAAGGGCAGCCATATGGGCAAACTCTTTCGGGAGTACAGCACACTGGTGGATAGATTCAAGCGAGTGGTCACCGTTGATCCCCTGAATATGAAGGGCAAGGAGGCAAAGCAGAAATATTGGGAGGAGCTGGACGCCTTTTCTGTGTTTTTGAAAGTAAGTAGCAGTTCATTTCTATTTAACTTTACTGAGAAACATTTAATTAATTCCTGCTCTTCTACAGAAACTGGTCTCCGACCTGCGGGACATCATTGCCCCTTATAGGTTCCTATTCTTTGGCAAACGCTACGACTGCAGTGCTGTGCACAAACAAACAAAGATTATTAATACTCTCGTGGATGACTTTTGTCTGGCTAACCAATGGAGTAAACATCAGCGTGTTATATTCTCTCAAGCGGCTATGCACGCCAATCGATTGGACGCCGCAGATCTCAAGCTTATATGCCATGAGCTATCCCGCAACCACAAGAAAACCCAGGCGGTGTACGATATGCTCAAGGGATTTGCCAGCGATTGGACGCAGCTGGAGGAGCGTCATAAGCTGGTTGCCAAGAGATATCCCACTATACTCGTGGTAGATGAGGTAAATCATCAGTAATATATGGTAAATGTTACCTATATCATTACTTTTCTAGCGTCTGGACCACCTCCACTGGGAGCAAATGGTCACAGTACAGGAGTTCAGCCGCGTCAAGTCGCTGCACTGCCTCTGGCGTTTGTTCCAGCATCACAAAGCTGATATCAAGCATGGATATTACACCACAACTATCAAGCAGGGAATGTGTGTGATCAATCCTGATGCAGATCTAATGAACTCTGGCCGCAGGCTGCGTAGTTTCTTTGAATACTGGCTCTCGGATTGGCAGCATCTCTTCGAGACCGTGCCCACCGAGGAGGTGATGGTGAAGCAGGCCTACCAAACGGATTGTTTTGTGTAAGGATTAATTTCCTAACTAATTTTTAATAAGACTAATTTTGAATTATTCCCATAGCTATGCTGGTCACGGCTCTGGTTTGCAGTATGTGAATGCACGCCTGGTTTGCAGGGCCAGGGTACGAAGTGTGGTCTTTCTATTTGGCTGTGACTCAACGAGAATGCTGGGCACAGGTTTATATAGTGCCTTATACGGAGCCCATGACTATTACCATGGAGCTCTGTGCCCCTCTGTGGTGGGGACTTTAATGCCTGCCTTGGACGGCAATATGGATACGATTTCGGTGACAGTGATGAGCCTTTGGCTGGCTCCTGGTGATAAGCAAGTGATACCCTGGACGCATATCGATCGTACAACCTGGCTCAAAAAGGGTATTATTAAAGGTAGGAGAAACCACAGTAAATGTGGGTAAAAAAGACTGAATTTTGTATTTAAATATGTCAAGAATTAACTTAAAACAAGAAAAAAAAGAGGAGACACAAAAAATGTGGTAATTAAGTAATTTCTTATCTTAATTTACCAAATCACTTCCATATTCATTAAGATAATTGACTAAAATCCCAAAAACACACACACATTTCTTTCAGGCAAAGAACAGGAGAACACGCCCTTGATGAGCCAGCAACCCAACTACCATCTAGGCAGCCTGTGCTCCATCCTCTCGCTGGTGCAGCAGGGCAAGGTGGAGCCGAGCATTTACAACTGCTGCATTTACGTGTGCCGAGGCCTGCCTGCCTGGAATTTGGCCGTGGAAAATATGCCTTTCTAGTACAATATGTGTTCGTTTTTGCGCAAAAAAGGAAAGCCAGGTACAAAAAATTCTTTTTTAATTTAACTAATTCATTCAAGTGGAAAGTTAGGTGCATTAAAATACTTATAACACTCAGAATCGTAGGAAACACTGAAATATAAACTATTTGTTAAGAAGTAATAGCTTACCTTGACTAATTTCTTGGTTTGGAAGAGCGAGTGATGTTTCTTTAGGTTTAGTTTAGCACATTAACTTGCAGTTGCCACGCTTTACAGTTTTGTTTGAATTTTTTAATAGGAGTTATTTAACGTGTTTAGACTTTGTACATTGTGTTGATGTTTTTTTTTTGTTTTTGGAACTTTTAACCGTTCATAGATTTAGTTAGTTAAATTGCTTTTTTGTTTCATCGTTTTCGATTAGATTTACTTGAACTCGAACCATGCCAGAGACAGAGAGACAGAGTGGAGTGTAATTCTTACATTGCCTGTGCAAGAACAAGGAGTGAGGAACGTTAATTTCAAATGCAATTCGTAATGTGGGTGGGTGAGAGGAAAAGCATAAAAAATAGTGAGAGTGAGAGTGAAAGTGAGGTGCAGTCACAGAGAGACAGAGAGAGTAAGTGGAAACATTGAGATTGTTTTAAAAAATTGAAATGGAAATTCAGAAGATAATTGAAACCAAAGGACGAGGAGGAGAGGATTATCCAGTGCCTCGGCTTCGGTGAATGGCCAAGAAACGCCCAACTATTTATTTACTCGAATGGGACTGGCACTCGCACTCGTTTGTCGCCCCAAAACGCTCTCCAAAAACGCGACTCATCTCATCTCACCTCGCCTCGCCTCGCCCTGTTCCCGTTCCTGCTCGGGTTGCCCTTTTGGCAACGAGCTTTTCTCCCCCTGCCCCTCCCCTTCTGAACCTGCGGCGACCTCCAAGCAAACGCCCAGCATCGGCATCGCATCTACTTGACCTACTAACGGCTGTCGCATTATGACACACATTCGTTAATTAGGCCCAACCCATGGGCCATCGAAAGAAGCGGAAAATCGAATCTTTTGGAGCCTTTTTGGAGCCAAAGCGAAATCATCATCGTTCACACGGCGTATGCGTAATATTCGCAGCCACAATTTGCATGCGCTTCAGACACACCTCGACCCTATTTATGGGTTACCAATAACTTGGACTGGGCTGGGCGAGGCTGGGTGTCCTTCGGGCTAATGTCTCAATGCCGTGCCCAGCTGGCCATGTGTGTGCGAGTTAAATCAAATTAGCACCCAAGGGGGCCACCAGCAGAAACCAGAGTCAGATCCAAAAAGGTGCATGCCACACCTCCCACTCAAGTGGCAGAGAGCAGAGAGCAGTGAGGAAGAGGAACGCGGACAGGAAGCAAGGAGCGGGAGCAAGGACTGTGCTAACATGACAGGAGACAGCGTCAGAAGGAGGATATTACATAACAGGCGCTGCCCATGTAAATCTGGTTGTAAATTCCCAGCGAACGTTTGTGTGTATATGTGTGTGTGTGTGGTGTGCTTTTGTGTGTGTGTGTGGCTTGCCCCAAATGAATGTGCGATGACGTTGACGTTGACTATTGTTATTGTCAGTTTGTTGTTACTGCTTCTGCTGCTGATGCTGTTTTTTCTATTATTATTGTTTGCTCTCAGTCAGCGTTAACTTTATATTCCTTCAACTATTTATATGTTTTTTTTAGCAGGTATTCATCTCATTTTTTGTGTGTTGTGTTAGCCTTGAACTCGAGGCAAAACTTTTACTTTTTAATGCGCAAAAAAATGTATATTTTACAAATGTTTATACGTTTTTCTTTCGAATGGTATTTATTGGGTTTTTATTTGAAAATTTGTTGCTGAAACGCTTTGTTAACTTTGTTGAAATTCTTTTAGTTGTCTAAGTTATTGTTTTTCCTTTCGGTATTTCCTATTTTTATTGAAGTTGCTTTGATTTGCTGTTCTCAATTTGTTTCTTTAAATCTTGTTTTATTTATATATATTGTTTTTATATATTTTTCTTTTGTGGTAATTAGATGTTGTAAATGTAAAATTCCGCCGCGTTGCACACAACAATTCTCTGGCAGAGATCAACTGAGACTGAGCCCGTTTCTGGCTTTAGGGCCTCGCATAAGCAATTGCATCCTCTTTTGGGTATCCCGCTCCTTTTGCTGCTCCAGCTCCTGCTCCTGATTCCGCCTTCTGGCGAAGGACACTCTGGCCGAGAGAGAGAGAGAGTAAAAAAAAAAAACGAGCCCGAACAATGTAGCAAACTGATGGCGAACCGTCGTAACCACAACAAAAACAGCCAAAGGACCAAGAGAGAAATAGAGAGAAAGAGAGCCGGGAGAGTCGAGAATAAAAAAGGCACGACATGGCAGGACCTCATCCTCCCTCTTTCTGCTCTTGGCCATGTCCTCGCCTAATCTTTTTGTTGTTGCTCACTCTGTTTCACTTTCGGCTTACAATGATTCTGCGTTTTCATGGTGATTTTGTTGTTGTCCCCCCCACACCCCCCAGAAAGCTTCAATGTTGTCAGTGGCCACGTGACTCTCGTCCTGAGCTTTCTTATCAATGTCGCGCTTTAAGCTTCGTTCAAGGGATGAGAAAGCTATGGCAGTCAAAAATGCCTTTACTTGTACTTGTACTCCAGTTAAAAAGCCTTAGGGGGTAACTTAAGACCAAAAGGATATGCCTGAGCTTAGCTTAACTTACATTTGGGGAGGCAGTGTTGGGGCGTAGTCCTTCCTTCTATCGTTATCCCTTATCCTACATCTGCACCCCTTTTAATTGTTTAATATCTAATGCGCTTAAACGTAGTAGCTAGTTTTGTTGTACGTGGGTTTCTTTGATTTTTGATGCGTCTCTCGTCGTCGATTTACGTTTTTGTACTTGTCAAAGAAGTTTGTAACTTCCAACTACCAACCTAGGATCTCGAGTCCTCCTTCTTCACTTTCCTAGGCCTCGGTGGCCTCGCTCTTTCCCTGACTTCCAGTGCTGCTGGTATTCTCGCTATTGCTGGGAAGTTGTGCCTGCAAAGGGATGTCATTGAGTAGGATATTCTAGTCACTGATCCCTTTTTATACTCACCACATTCCGATGCGGACAATCGGCATGAAGATGGTCCTCGCCACGGCACCGATGACAGCGTTTCGGCTGTGGACCCAAGGCGCATTCGGAGGCAATGTGATTGGCAAATTCACCGCAGTTGTAGCAGCGCATGCGACGAGTCCTTCGGTTGCTGTGAAAAGGAGAAGAGTTAGTTGGATTCCTTTTTTGGGATATGGGCTAGGGTAGTCACTCACATGCGTGGCCTGTAGGTGCTGCCGTGGCAGCTACCGCCCTGCTTGCCGGACACCCTGGTGGCCTCCAGTCCACGGGCTGTGCGCTGACACTCGAACTCCACTTCCTCTTGCTCGCCCAGGGATCGAAAGCCCGCCATTTGGATGACACTCTGCAAAAGGAAGTAAAGAGTTTAATTATATAGGTAATAAGAAAAGAAAGAAGGAATCATAATTCCATAGATGAGTTCAAACTTGGTTCAAAAAAATCAATTGAACTATATAGATTTAATCAATTAAAAAAAAATTTTGATTGAGTGATTGTTATTAAATCGTTTTGGGATTGCTTTTATATCAGTTATAGAAAATTTATATTGAATGCCCTGTTATTAATTATCTTTTTAAATGATCGTATTTTATAAATATTTAATAAAATAGAATACAATTCATATACTTGAATATACATTAAAATAAAACAGGAAACTAACTTTGGGAAGCCGAAGTTTATATATCCTTACAGTTTGCAATTGAATTATGGGATTGATATGGAAATTGATCATAACTAAGCTTTAAATATTTACATTCTTTGAATAAATATTTTTGAATATTTGCTTGACAATTCAAAGTTTAAAAAACTCATAACTAAGCCAAAAATAATTTAATTTCACTTCGAAAAGCTGTCCTAAGTTAGTTTTTATTAGGTTAATAAATCAGCATACTCAATTTAAAATTTTAAATAATTATTTTTTTTTACCTCTTTTGACAATTTTAACAATGTAATCCCTTAGGAAATTTTGAAAAATTTGGTACATTTTATTTTTTGACCGGAAATGGCTAGATCGACCTGGCTGATAATGCTGATCAAGAATATATATGATTTATAGGGTCGGAAATGACTCCTTCATTAAGTTTCAAGCTTCTGAATTAAATTAAAATACCCTTGCAAGGGTATAATGAGGATATTTTATATTTTTTGCTTTCTAAGCTTCTAAACTTCAGTATTATTATGTTTATAGACTCAAAAACATTATAGATTTATTAATATTTAAATGGCAGTACCCACCTGATGTACAAACACCTCCTGGCCGCCGTCGTTGGGTGTTAGGAAGCCCCAGCCTTTGGCCACATTGAACCATTTGCATTTGCCCAGACGCACACAGCCGCATTCCTCCGCAGGACTCGCAGGATTCGCTAAAGGTGGAAATAGGAGAGAAGTGCTAAGCAATGAGATATGAATAAGGAAACTTGAGGTTCAGGCCTCAAATTCGATATCCTGTCTGGGAATCCCTGCCCTAAGTTTTGTTATTCAAATGAGGCAGCCGAGTGGCAGCTGAAGCGCCTCGGTGTGGCATGTCCTTGCCCCATTTTGCCGCGGGGCAAGTTCAACTCGGGTTTAGGCTCTCCGATCCCCCTGCCTCTAGCCCTCAAACACATAGCGAACAGAAGAAGACGATGAAAAACAGGTTTCGTTGTTATTTTAAGACACACAAAATATTTGGAAATAGCTTTTAAAGAGCAGAGTGGATTCATTCCATCATTATCTGAGCTGAAGGGGCTCATCTCACTCACTCACTCACTCATACACACGCCCGTCCATTCATTCGGGTTCATTCATTCATTCATAAATTGTTTTCACTGCTGCTCGTTCCCATTTCGTAGGCCGCCTCTATCTTGAACTCGCACTCGTAGTATCGCTCGGATACAGATACTTGTACTTTGCAGTGCATTCTCATGCTGGCTGGCTTATCTGAAATCAAAAATTCTGTCTTTGCTTTTCCTTTTTTGGGGGTTGCTTGGCATTTCTAGGTCGCTCTCACTCATTTTCCCCCCGCTCCTCTGGTAATATACAACGTGAATGGAATTCCAAGATCTGGAAATTCTTTAGCGTGTCTGATAAGAAGCCTAATTGAATGAAAATCTTGTATCCTTTGGGTTTCCTTGTCCTGCTTTTCTTATAGGTAAGATGCAAACTGGTTTTTCCCCCCTCATTCAATTAGCCCCGTAAATCTTGGAGATCTATGAGATTCACTGAACTGCAAGTAATCCCAAATCCCTTCTGCTATGTGTCCTTGATCGAGAACTTCGAGGGGTTGGGCTTGGAGTGACAAATGTCGGTCATCCATGGGGGGTTGATGACACCTCCACCTCCATAGTTTATATACACCGCATTTGCCAATAAAAACCCAAATCAACGAATGGCAAAAACAAAACAGAAAACCAAAGAACTGCGCAGTATATAAAAAACAAGCAAAATAAATAAAAAACGCAGACAAAAACAGAAACAGAAATATTAGGGCGATCGCTTAGCCAATCAGCAGCGACTTTGATAAGATTCCGTATTGAATTTGTTGTCGTTTTTGTTTTATTTTGGAACACAAAACGAGTTTCGGGGGCAAAACTAGGGGGGAGGGAATTGAATTGAAGTGGAATTGGAATTCAACACTTACCTGGCACCGATGACGTTGAGCTCCTTCTCTCCAGGCCTCCCAGATTGTCCTGCAAGCTCTCCATGTTCTCGATCTTTTTCCTGGGTTTTCCTTGCTTTTCGCTCCTCAAAAAAAGTGCCTCGTTTCTTATAGACTTCACTTCAACTGCATGGTTTTCCAGCCGCCACACATGTAGATACAGTTGCACACTCGACTTTGTATCTGTATCTGTATCTGTATCTTTCACCGCACTCACACGCACACAGATACGTCTTCAAATTTCAATTTTCCCACAGGGAAAAACTAAATACTCTCTTTTTAGAGGGGAAAAACAAAACGCTGCCGCTGCGCACGACGCACTTCGTCACACTGACTCCGCGTTGCGTTTGACTATTTCTAGGAAGGTCGCAGCAGACCCGAAAATGTTTAGCTCGCAGTATCTGTATCTTCAAAACAATATTTCGAGTCTACGAGCGAGCGTGTGTGCTGTGCGAGTGAGCGTGGAAAAACGCCGAGCAGGGTTGAGTGAATTTCGGGTGATTCGAACCGATTCGTTTCGAGTTGCGTTCAGTTAATTTGAGTGGTTTTTTTGGGTCTAGCAGAACACGTAAATGTATCTGACAGATACTCTATATCTACGCAGATCGCAGGGGGACAGAACAGAGCCCGGAGAGGGAGAGAGAGAACACCTAAATTTATCTATGATAATGCCGAGCTCATTCGTATTCGTATTCGTTTTCATATATGACACGGCGTGAGCCGAACGCACTTCAGGATACTTGAGTTATTAAAACTGTTATACAATTTAGTTTATATAGCCTGAACTTAAACCATTAGCTTAGCTTTTAATTTAAAAATCTTTAAATAAATACTTAATAACTTTAAATACTTCATACTTTTGTAACTTAAAACTGGAAACCTTGCCTTCAACAATTAATGGGATATGATGAAAACAAGGTTGATCTTCATTATACTTTTTATTAATTTCTATTACAGCTCGTTTAAGCTGAATTTCTTTTTATTTGGTAAACGATATATTGAAGCTAGTTAAATATATATTTAGACTAAAACTAAACTAATACTTATAGGCAATACTTATTCTATAACCTTACTTTAATACCTTTCCAAATAGATAAAACTTATAAACCTTGACTCACTATTTAAAAAGCTTATTATATATTCATGTTTTGTCTAAAATCAACTATATTTTCATGCCCTTGCAGGGTATTATAATTTCAATCAGAAGTTTGCAACGCAGTGACGCACCTCCGACTATATAAAGTATATATATTCTTGATCAGCATCAACTGCCGAGTCGATCTAGCCATGTCCGTCTGTCCTTCTTTCATTCTGTCCGTCTGTCCGTTTCTACGCAAACTAGTCCCTCAGTTTTGAAGTTATCTGAATGAAACTTTGTAGTTAGTCGTCTATACTCTCTCTCGTTTATATGTCGAAACGGGTCAGATCATATAGCTGCCATAGGAAAAATTATAAGCCATTTCATATTATTCTACAATTTTGTGTAAAATTTTATGAAAATCGGACTAATATTTCGAATAGCTCCCATAGGAACGATCGAGAAATTTGAGAGGACTGAGAATGGCTGTGGCTGTTGTCGGAAGACTGACAATCGCGGTGGCGATAACATTTTCAGTTTTCCACAGAATTTAATCAAATTTGAGATATAGCCGTTTCATATTATTCTACAATTTTGTGAAAAATTTTATGAAAATCGGAATAATATATCGTATAGCTCCCATAGGAACGATCGAGAAATTTGAGAGGACTGAGAATGGCTGTGGCTGTTGTCGGAAGACTGACAATCGCGGTGGCGATAACATTTTCAGTTTTCAACAGAATTTGATCAAATTTGAGATACATCCATTTTATATCACTCTACAATTTTGTGTACAATTTTATGAAAATCTGACTAATATATCGTATAGCTCCCATAGGAACGATCGAGAAATTTGAGAGGACTGAGAATGGCTGTGGCTGTTGTCGGAAGACTGACAATCGCGGTGGCGATAACATTTTCAGTTTTCAACAGAATTCAATCAAATTTGAGATATAGCCATTTCATATTATTCTACAATTTTGTGTAAAATTTTATGAAAATCTGACTACTATATCATATAGCTCCCATGGGAACAATCGTTAGATATAGAGGAAAAATGCAAATCTGTGAATGTAGAACTGTAAATATAATATGTATAGGTGAATGAAATGAAAGCAGGTATTACTTCATTGTTTTTTAACATCATAGTCATCGAAGTTTTATCTGCAAGGGTATATAAACTTCGGCGTGCTTAAGTTGGCTTCATTTCTTGTTATACATGATCTATAACTCCATAACTCTTAGCTATAATATTTAAGAAAAGATCATAGTACTCAATCTCTATTTTCGACTCAATCTTTCATTTTTTATATAAAAGGATATAGTGTTTCTCCACTCCTGAGCTGCCTCATTCTGATAGGTAGATCCTTCTTCCTCTGAATGACTTTCATAAAAAACTACCTCTTCTGATTGGTGATTGCAAAAAAAATACAAAAAAACATCGCTAAAAAACTGCACTGCAACTGGCGGCGAGCGGACTGCAACCCTCGTGTTGGTCGCGTGGCAGGCAGCTGTGCAACTGAGATGCATTTTCCACCCCTCATCACGTGCATCAGGATGCCTGATCCTGGTTCCTAACCCTGCTCCCAACTTCGATTCATATTCCTATACCGATCTCTATAACGGCTGCATTGTGCAACTTTTATTTGCGAACTCCGAAACATCCTTCCTCCCTTGCTCCTGGCATGCAATTAATTTCGGCACGTGCCCCGCTGGCATATCGAATCGATGACCAATGCCATTCCGTCGATGATGACAGCCGATCCGAGGGCGGAAACTGTAGCGAAAATCATAAGGATGCTGAGGAAAAGGGAGGTGCAGTCTGATGTGCACCCCCGAAACTCACATCAAATGCACATTTTGTGGTTTAGAAAACTACCGGAAAACGGAGACTATTTTGAGTGGAAAGTCGCTTGAATGGATTGAATTACTTTAGGAGAATGTTTTTGGAAAATAAACACAAATTAGTGAATTTGAATGTTGAATTTGTGAGGAAATATCATGAGACTGGATACTGGAAATACATACTATTTACAATTTAAATGATTAAAACTGCTGATATTATAGGGCTTATACTTTTGAAATTGGGGTTTAATGTATCTCATAGGAAAACCTGATTTGAGAGATACGTTTTCAGGCTTATCCCTTTTATAATCAATTTTCCTACAAAGATACAAATGTTTCTCAGAACATATTCTATTTGAGCTCTTTGGAATGTTAGATGAAAGCTAAGACCTTGACAAAGATTTGCTTTGAACTAACTAATATTTAGGAAATGTTATATTGTTTATTATTATTATTTTATTTTATTTTCCATTTATGGATATTAGAAATTCATCTTTAATTACTTATAAGTTGAACACAAATCATATATATTACTTTAAAAATAGTCCTTAAGCACTTGGCTTAGCAAATGCTTTTCTGAGGCTAATTAAATAAATTAGTTCTTGCCAATTAAATGAACTAAATTGGTTCTGAATGTTATTGAAAAGTACTGTGGTACAAAGATTTTAAGTTGAGATGTAAGAATTTATAAAACTCATTAGAAAGGCACTATCAATATTACCTTTTATATTATTATTAAAGAACGGAAGGTCAACTACCAGATCATGGATGCAGTAGGATTGGAATAAGATTGAAATGTCTCCGTAATTCTTCTCTACAAATTTCAGAAGAAGTCCTAAGCAGTTTAATTCCATTCAATGTATTTCAAATAAAAGACGCTTATCCCACACAGGATAAAGGTCCTTAATTTCGCTTGACAAACCCAAACATTAGTTATTCATCTGTCTTTGTCTTTGTTTTAATTAGTTAAATAAACAACAAGTAAATGATTTTGTCGTAATGGATACAACATTTTCCCAAAAAATGATTTAAATACTTTTTTAAATTCAATATAAATTCAATTATTAATCTACTAATTTTATATGATTTTGAAATATATAAAACTATGAATATGGTTTGACCAACTGCTATTATTTATTGTGAATTTTAATTTTACTTAGCTCGAGAATATAATACCAAATATAAGCGATTCCTTTTTCGCATGCATACGTTAAAAACTGGTAACATGAAGCCATAAATTGATGGCTGAACTCGATGAAAAGTGAGGGAAATCCCAGCGGGTTGCTGCTGAATCTGCTGCTATTATTGAGGGGTCAGCGAGGGTCAGTTTGATTTTTTATCAACAGTAAATAAATGCTAAAGAACCCAAAACAATGTAACGAACCAGCTGTAATCAATATTTTGCCTCGCTCTCCACCGATCCCGTGACGGTCTCAATCCGATGGCCAGTGGTCGGCGGACAATGCCGGCCAAAGGACAAAGGACGAAACGAGAGCGAAAGTGCCCATTAGGGATGTCCGATGGCAGGCACAGGCACAGGCACAGGCACAGGCACTCACATGCTCATAATTGGAACAGGATTAACAAGGCGTCCTGCTCGTGGTCCTGGCACTCGCCGGGAATGCAATTTACTTTTGGGGAAGTGCAGCCGGGCATTGTCCAAGGATCGAAGGAACACGAAGGACGAAGGGGGCGATCGGCACAATGGCCATGAAAATAATCCGCTTTGTGAGTAAAACGTTGCCAAACAGAAATCAAGGCTTTGGTATATGAAAATTAGGAAAATTCTATGCAAAATCGAAGGGGAGGATTGTGTGTTTGAGTTTTGGGGAGGATGCATTCGCTCCATTTACGCCATCCATGTGGCATATCCGCACAGCACGCGTTTGACCCGACCTGGCACCTCATCTCCCTCCGATTTTTTCTCCTGATTCTATAGTTTTTTTTGTGTTGCGATAATCAGTATAGGTTTTTTTTATTCGTTGTTGTCAGCTTTTTATGCATGAAACGCACACAATTTGCATGTCCTTTGGGGAGGGGTTAACATGTGAGAGTAACCATTGAAGTGCCCTACTTTCATCGTTGATTGACATGTGATTGATGTTTCCATTTGCAGTGACAGGCCGTCAAAGTGCAGCTCTTCGTCACAGGTATAGGGAAGTCCAGTATAAATGAAAATTTTAGTTGCATTTAAGCTCTGTGAACTTGAATTAAATCAATAGTAGATAGATATAACAAATATTTTTGATTTTCAGATAAAGATTTTATATCTAAACTGTTGCTTTTAAATCAAGAAAATATTAAAGAAAAAAGATGAAAGGAAGCAAGCTTTGGTAAACTAAAATTTCTATACCTTTGCTGAGAAAATCCTTTAAAGCTGAATTAGAAAAAGGGATAAATTGCCATTGGAAAACTTTCCTATGTTTGTATATAAGATAATAGATCTAAATATTCAAATTAAAATAACTACGCTTAAAATATTCCCATTCTTTAAATCAGTATTTATTTTTATTTAGAAAAGGGTCATATTTTTTGAAAAATTAAATCTTACAAAGCGCATAACTAAAAACAAAAATGCATTAATTTTTATACGGAAAGCTTGCCCATATTAGTTTTTAATAGGTTAATAAATCTGCATACTAAATTTAATATTTTGAAACAATCGATCGATTTTGGAGAATTTTGACGATATAACCCCTTATAAAATTTTGAAAAAAAATTTCAAAAAATTTGTTTTTTTTTTAGTGTGCCCAGAAAACCTTTCCTGTTGATGCTGATCAAGAATATATATGATTCATAGGGTCGGAAATGCCTCCTTCACTGCCTTGCATGCTTCTTACTTAAATTAAAATACCCTAGCAAGGATATAACAAAGGATAATGAAATGCCCAAAAGTTCCTTAAGAAACCCCTAAAAGTATACCCTAGTTCTTAGCACAATCAAGGAGAAAAGAAACTCCAAACCCCTTTAGTATGAAATATTTTTGTATTTATTCATTCTTTTCATACTGTTATTAATTGTGATTCTTTAGAGATATTTTATAGAGATATTTCATATATAATTAATAGGAATTTAAGTTGCATTCAAATAATTAGATAATCGATTTTTGTTGCTGGTTTTTTCTCTTTCTTTCTTTCTTTTTTTTTTTTAAATGTCTCGCATATAATTGGCGCTTAAATAGGCATATAGTCAATTATTTCGTTTATTGTGGTATAAGAGGTGACCGATATATATATATAGCGTGATATATATATATCTGAGGCTCGTACAAATCAACATTATATTTTATTTTTTTGCTTTCAAGAGGGCTCAAACAGAAACTCAATCTCCATCTCGAAATATTTTGTAAAATGATTATTTTTTACGTGCAATTTGCAAATAAAATTCGCTGCGTTTTGTTATTTTTGTTGTTTCCTTTTTCTAATTTGTAATTATTTACGAGAACCAATTTTGTACATTTTGTGTATATGAGGGATAGAGAGAGAAATAGGTAGATAGAGAGAGATAGAGTGAGTGGGGGAAACAATCTCATACGACAATATTTAATGTACGTATGCATAACAGAGGGCTCTACATGATCCTATATAGGGCTGAATTATAGATAATTGTAATTATATAGATTCATACATTTTGAAATATTGATTTGCAATAAAGGTATACGATAGACTTATTGAATATATAATGGAATATATATTTGGATTTGATTTCTAGAATTGATCCTTGAATCATTTTGTGTGTGTTCATGTGTGAGTGTTCGACCTAAATCAGAGTCACTTATAACACTAAGAAGCAGTCATTTATTCTCCATTTAAATTTACGTTGTGTCGTCGTCACGTTTCTTGAATCCTGAAACAGATTTCAATTACTGTACAAAGTTGGGCGCTTTTAACCATAGGCCATCGGTTTTTTTTCGTCTATATAAATAGCTATAGCTATAGCTCTCTACGACTACGTATATTATATAAGTGTGCTTTTGTATAAATATATATATATATATATGCCTAGATCCGGATCTAAATCGTAATATATTACAATGCTTGCTCAAACAAAAGGTTCGGTAAAATATATGTATATATATATATATCGAAATGTCTGGGGTTCCTTGGGTGTGTTCTTCTTCTATGCGTTACGAGTATATTGTATATATTAGTAATTCATTCAGTCTCACAAATAGGAAAGTATTATGTGTGTCGCTTATTTTAGTATTAAATTTTAACTGTCTCAAAAAGTATGGCAAAAAAAGAGAGAAATAACTCAAAATTTAATGAAATATTGCACACAATAAGAATGTAATGGATTTGTAAATAGATGATTGCACAACCAACATATGTGAGATTAAAACCAAATGAGAAATAAAAATCAATTTCGTTTTTTGTATGTTTTTTTTTGTATAATTTTGATTATCTTCTTTTATATTTTCCATGTATGTAGGCTTGTCTCATCTTTTCTGCGTTTTCTTTAGAAATATTATGCGTATATAATTAAATATTGCATATGCTTAGAAATCTTAGAGCTAACTTAGGGTAGAGCTTACTTGGCTAAAACATCTTCTCAGCACTCCTAACTCCTTGCTTGCTTTGTATCAGATACAAAAATACAAAAACTTTTGCATAGTCTTAGTCTCAATTAGCGGATTTCGATTGCGAACCGCCCGAATTTTCCACCCCCCGAATTTTTCCCCCCAAAAGTCCCCAGTATCTTGTACTTAACAAGATAATACTTAACCCTACGAATTGGTGTTGTGTCTTACAGATCGAGGAAGAGGGTATTGGAACCCTCTGCCTTTAATATACAAATCCTTAGGGGGTAAATGTAATGCGCTAATAATATATTAATTTAGATATATGTAAGTGTACTTAAAGCTAATCAGCCTCATTAAGATTATAAGCTTAGGGTTAGCTAAAGATTTCATATATATAATATATATATATATTCAGACGAAAACGAAGACTAATTGAGAGCGTAATTTTGGTAAAGTACAATACGAGCAAATTTTTTGGATTCGGTTTTCTTGTTTAAGGTTAAGGTTAAGGTTAAGGGAGTTCTTGGACTGGAGAAAGGTTGAGTGATTAAGGCGCAAAAGTAGTTTTGGGGGAAATAGTATATCTAGAGTGTTATGCTATACTTTATATATATATATTTATATATTAGAGTGATCTATAATGTATAATTCATGTGTTTCAAAATACAAATACAATCGTAAATCGTAAATGTAAATGTGGACAAATGGAAACAGTCAAAAGCACCGATTTTTCAGCTAAGTTTTTCTTTACGTTTTCTTCCTTTGCTTAGTTTTTATACCTTTTTTTTTTCTTTTTTTTTGTTTTGTAAGTTTTGTTTTTGCATAATAATCATAGTGTAATAATCATAGTAATGATAATGGTAATGGTAATCCCTAGTGGCCTACATAATTATATAGCTAATTCAACAGATGCCGAAATATATAAAGGTTCGTCTTCGATATTTACACACACTTTTGCTTTCATTTGCTTGTTGCTGCTGCTGTTGTTGTTTTGTATATTTAATAAAATACATATAAATATATATATATATCCGTATGTATAATAATGATATATTCATATATAAAATACGTATGTATAGATTAGCTTCTCGGTTCTGCTACAGAGATGATCGGCCCTAAGCAAATGGTTTTGTTTTTACTTTATTTTTTTGTTCAGTGCTAACGAAATTCAAATAAGGCAACTTGAATCTATGTATTGTATGTATCGGTATATGTATATCCTTAGTTATCCTTTTTTAGTCTCTATATCATCTACATCTAAAGGTGCGCGCCTCAACAAACAAACAAACAGAGTGAGAGACAAACTAAATTCAGAACTTGGAAAATCATCGAAAAGCCTCGAATCCTAAATGCATTTTCTCTCGTTCTCCTTCTCCATCTCCGTTTATTAATGTTTTTCCCCCAATTAACAATAATTGCTGACCAATTTTCATATCCTTTATATGTGTGCTTCTGTGTGTGTGTGTGTGTGTGTGTGTGTGTATATATATAAAATATTTATCAAAATAATATGCCCTTCGTGCTGTGCTCTCCTGCCATGCTGATAATGATGAGAAGGAAGAATTCCAGGGTTTTCTTTTTTTGTTTTTGCCAATTGTTGAGATCTAGTTTTCATAGCGCGAAAATGAGTACGATTTTCAAGGTAGGGGGGAGGATCAAGAAAGTCGGAGGGGGAAAAGTCTTCTCTATATACAACTATATAATAATACCGTTACGTTTACTTGTGCTGCTGCTGCTTCTTACTTCTTACTCATTCTTCTGGGGGATTCTGTCTCTTTGTCTGTCTGTCTGTCCGTTCTTAATTTCTAATTGATTTTTATTGCACTTGGATTCCATCACTTCCTCTGGTCTGCAACGAATGCTCTATACCCTACGTGCACTCAATGATCATGGGTTGATTGGAGGACTCTATGACCGAGGGTCTGCTCTCCTGTGCCTGCACATGTGGCCCATGCATATACGATTCTGGCAGGGATTTCAAACCCTTGGGGGAGTGTTGCTGCTGCTGCTGTTGCTGTTGTTGCTGCTGGATCTGGAGTGCATGGGGATGGGCATGCTGGAGGAGACGGCTGGGCGAGGATTGCTGGTGGTGTGAGGGCAACGGCGGTGGCAACTGACTGGCGGTGGTCAGAAGCATTGGAGCCGGATGTTGACCCATCAACAGGTGCGGTGGCGGTGGCACTCCCTGCTGGGGATGCTGTTGCTGCTGCTGCTGCTGCTGGGATGCCATGTGGTTACCCAATGGGATAAGGCGGGGTGGAGACTGTCCTCCGTTAGAGGACAAATGCCTTAGGCCAGGATGCACAGAGGGATGCATATGCTGCTGCAGTTGCTCATAGGCCTCACGTGAATCCGGTTCCGGGTGATCTTTATCTGTTTATAGAAATATAAATATAAGTAAAGAACTTCTTTTAACACAAAGTTCAGGGTAACCTACCCAAACACTCGGATGTTGCAGCCGCTGCCATGGCCAGCTCTTCCTCCAGATTGTTGGGCTTGCAACTGGTGGTCTTCCAGTGTGTCCTTAATCCCGAGGCACTGATATACTTCTTGTCACATCCCTGGCACACATAAGGACGATCATTCGTATGCAACCGCTTGTGGAGCTTGAGATGCACAAACTGGGTGAACTTCTGGGGACAAAGATCACAGGCATAGGGCTTCTGGCCACTGTGCAGCCGGAGATGCGTCTTCAGGTTGGAGGTGCTCGAGAATCGCTTCTTGCAAATGTCACACTGATGCGGCTTCTCGCCGGTGTGCACCAAATGATGCTTCTGCAGGTGCGCCAGTTGGGTGAAACTCTTGGTGCACACATTGCACTTGAAGGGTCTTTCGCCCGAATGCGTTCGCAGGTGAACCTTTAGGTTGCTCAACTGGCCAAAGGTCTTGCAGCAAACATTGCACTCGTAATGCATCTTGCCATCCTTCTTCTTCAACGGATACGGCAACGATCGATAGCCCCTAGAGGCCAGGGAGTTGGGACTCAGTGGACTGCCACTCCTGGGACAGGAGTTGCCATCGGGACTCAGGCTGCTCGGTGGCGAAATCCTCAGCGGGGAGAGACGTTGCAGTGGTGTTAGTGGTTGCATCAGTGGATGGTTCAACATCTGTGTGCTGCTCTGCAGCAAATGCAAATTGGAGGCAGAACCCGCTCCACTGGAGGCATTCGATTGCCGGTCGAAGGGCCAGTGAGAGCTGTGTGGAGGAGAGTGGAAGGTAGAGGTGGCTGCAGCTCCGTAATGCGGATATCCAGGATAGCCAGGACTTGGCGAATGATGACCACCCGCCTCACCGGCTCCCAGATAGGCTGGATGCCTTGAAGGCGAGAAGATTACATTATGATGATGATGACTTGGCGGCGGTGGCGAGCACTCCCCCTTGATTAAGGTGCCTCGGGTCATATCCTGGTCACCGCCCACCACTACACCCACTCCCTGCTGCTGTTGCTCGGCATTCTGGCCAAGATTTGAGCTGCTGTCGGGACTCACGGCATTCCCATAACGCTGCGACTTCTTGTAGCTGTAGGCCATCTCCGTGGGCGAAGTGGGTGGCGGTGTGGCTGCATTGGCCTGTCGACAGGCATTGGCCGCTGCCGCCGCCGCCTCCAAGCGATGCTGGCTGGTGAGGATTGTCTCCAGGATGCTAGAACTGGGCTGACCAAAGCGCACATAGCGCTCACCTGGTGGATCTGGCTCGTAGTAGGGTTTACTCAGCGGCACAATGGTGCGGGCCTGTCCTCCGGAGTTGTGCTCCAGAACGATTACCGTGGAGGAGGCGGGTTGCTGATTGGATGGCTCCCTCTCCCGCTCCCGATCTCGTTCCCTTTCCCTCTCGCGTTCCCTCTCCATAATCATCAGATGCTCATCGCCCAAGTGAGTGGTGGTTGAGGGACAAATGGAATCGGGCTCTTGGTGCATCATGGCCGTTTCCTCTTCCTCTTCGTGATGCGGCAGCGACATCTCCTGGTCCACTTCCTTAAGATTGGGCTCCTGCTTCACACAGCTCTTGTTCTTGAACTCGTACTTCAGAGGCATCTTCACCTTGAACTTCCTGTACTCGTTCTTATCCGTCTCACAGGATGCGGTGGCCGTGGATGCATTGTGGCTAATACTACTGCTGGTGGTGGTGGTAATGATGGGATTGGCCATGACCACAGCCGGTGGCGAGCTGCTTGGTTTCTGTGCCTGAGCAATCACCGTCTCCTTGGGTGCAATGGCCTTCTTGGAACAATCCAACACGTAATTGTGCTCACTCTCGCTGTCGCTGGAATCCTCGGGTGGCGTGAGGCCATCCTCGTGGCACTCGTTGCTGTGGTAACCCTCATCCGAACGCACTGATCTCACGCTGCCGTCCTGCGGCGTCAGCTGGTGATCCAGACCAGAGAGTGGAGATCCTGCCGTATCCTTGTCACTGCTGCTGGTCAAAGGCGAACGATCCTGACCAATGATCACGGAGGCATGACGACTGGCATGCTGAATGTGCGGATGGTGGGCATTGCAGGAAGTGGTGCTGACATGGGAGGGTGGACTTGCTCTCCGGCAGCACTGGCCACCGGCAGGGGTTGGTGGTGGCGGCGATGTGGAGCCACTTGTTGGACCACCATTCGCTGCTCCCACCGGCAGATGGAGACCCATCACGTAGGTGATGTGACTCACAGCCACCTCGGCCGGTATCTCAGGAGCAGGCATCGAATAGCGACGCTTGCCACCCTCAACTCCCGCCTCACCCTCCTCCTCGGGCTCCGCTTCCTCCTCCTCCTCGTCCATTACCTCCTCCTCGGCCTCGACAGCCTGCTTGCAGGCACCAAAGATGGTCGTCTCGGGATCCACGTCATAGCCAAGGCGACTGGCAAAGTCCTTGCAGTACCAAACCATTAGCTCCTCGTTGGGCAGGATGTCGCGGGTCGTGTAGAAATAAATGTTCTCCTGATGCTGGCATGCCACCAGGTTCATCACGGACAGACTATAAGCGGAGGCCACATAACGCATCCAGTTGGACTGCGAGCGATCTGAACCATCCAGATAATAGTAGTCATCGTCCTTGAAGATCTACAGAAAGGAAAAATGCGAAGAAAGCGGAGGCATTTAGAAAGATTCAGGAAGTTAAACGAGAAACATAAAGGATAACAATGAACACAGGACGCACAACAAGGAAGAACAAACAAACGCAGAGAAAACTACAAGGGGGGAAAGTTCAAGGGATGTGTGTTTGAAAAATGTCCATAGATTATTTAAAGGAAGCAAAATTCCTTAGAGTTTTGCAAAATGTATCGATTTTAGAAATAGATTTTAGGATGAAAATATATATTTCTTGTAAAAGTTTCTTTAATTATAAAGTATATTTACAAAACCTGTGTTTTAAAAGGTATTCTTTAACTGTTTTATGTAGAAACTAATCACTATCTTTCAGATATTTTTCAAAAACACATCAACATTACAGAGCAGTGCAAGGATAGCTTAAAGAAAGGAAAGAACTTGTGCTGATTGTTGGGATTAGTTTTGGATTGAAAGTTAAAGGTCAGAGAGGTCAGAGTTCAAAGACAACAAATAGAAATCAAAGAAAGCATAAATCGTGAGTGGTACCTTAATATTCCCGTAGGTTATGTGGCGTGTTCCCTGCACCTGATTAACCACAATCAATTCGAATTGTTTCCAAAATGCAAAATTGTAATTTTGAATTTGTATTCGTTTCATATTTTGTGTTTATATTGGTCGGGTTGGTTTTGTTTTTTTTTTGTGGGAGATGGTTTTAAGATTAGATCACATGAAATTAAAAATTAAAGAGAAACGAGTTGGTTAGTCGCATGTTTATATATCTTTTTTTCTTGCTGGATGATTGGATGGGGAAAGCATGATTCATATAAGGCAACACTTAGTTGTGAAGCAAAAACTTAGGATGCAAATCAGAAAAACAGATGCTTGAACCCTTTCTTTAAAGAAGATCTTTGCTTACCCGCCAGAAATATCTCGCCTTATTCTTATCATTGGGATAGTTTGAGGTTGGAATGCCTTCGAATGGGCCAAAGCGAGTGCCACGTGGTATGACCCCGCTGCTCCAAACTCCTTCAGTCTGTTGAGGAAATCAGATAAAATACGGAAGTTGTATTAAATGTATACTCTATTTAGAATCAGATATTTTTAAGAGGTCTTTGATGAGATGCTTACCTTAACATTTGGCGTTGAGTAGACCATGGATGACTTGAGCGTTAGACTGCGTGGCAGCGTCTTATCCGCTCGATTGGGTAATCCCCTTTCCGCCTGCACATCCGGCACCAGATACACGGCCAGTCGCTCAAAGTCCTCCTCCCGCATCCTGGTCACATCATAATCCTGGCTGCCATCCGGCGTGGGACTGCGACTCCGACTGCGACTGCGCGCCCTTCTGGCAGACATCTTGTGGTGCGGATGCGGATGCGGATGTGGATGTGGCTGGGGATGCACATTCGAATGGGAATGTGGATGCGGATGTGACTGGACATGGCTATTGGGATGTGGATGCGGATGCGGATGCGAATGCGGGGAATGATTGAGTTGTGGATGGCTGTGGGCGGGATGATGTGGCTGGCCAGAGGAGCTTCCCAGCTTCATGATGGCTCCCGGTTGTTGCTGCTCGTGTGAATTCTGTGAATGATTGTGGTGGTGTCCGTGCATGGCGTTTTGCAGCTATGGTTTATGGTTTTTGCTCAGCTAACGCTATATATATATATATATTATATGGTATATATATATGCTGATTTCAGTGGTGTCTGCTTATTCTGCTAGTTGAAGTTTTACTTGATCTGGAAAAGGCACAAAAGAGTTGGGGATGGTTTAATTATAGAAACAATTTAGATTTGGCGCTATAAATAGCGGCGCCTATCACCCCCTTTTTGCACCTGTATACCCCCATTTTCATCCCCCTACCCCCTACCTAACCCCTACCTACGATGAAAAGCTCACCGCTTGCAGTGTTGCATTCGGAAAAGCTAACTAGCAAATGCTGACGAGTAACGAGTCTCGGAAGGCTGAGGGGGACGGGTTGCAGTTCAAGATTACGGCCTTAATGGAGGTTACACGTTCACGTTCAGGGCCACCCGTGAAGCCACCCCTCTTCCCTTTGGGAGGGAGGCGAGTGCTAGGAAAATGTAATTTCCTCTAGAGAAAGAAAACTCACTTGGTTTAGATTCCTCCTTCATTTGGCTGCCATTGCATGGGGCTTTGTACTCTCGTTCTGCTAACTTTTCTCTCTAATTTAAAACATTTTCTCTTGTTTTTTTTTGTTTCTTAATTATTGTACAACTGCTAATTGATTATTCTGCTGTTGATTTGGATATTTTGCATATTATTTGTTGTTGTTTGTTGTTTTGTTGCTTATTGATTCGTTGGGCCCGCAAATTACGCATCACTTTCTGTTTCGTTCTCTCGTTACGCATACGCCGTGTGGCCGGTTGCCCGCCCCGGAAATACTTTCCGGCTGCCTCAAGGCACCCCGTAAACTTGTCAAACTATGGCAGATAGGAGATTGCTCTTGCATTATTTTATATCTACTGCCACATTTAGTTTTAGTTTTCTTATTTTTGTAAGAAACAAAATTACATTTCCCAATGTTTCAAAGGCAATTAATTATGAATTTTAATTTGTTATTATTTTGGGATTTTGTAGTTATTTATATTCGGTTTTTTGGTTTTTTTTTTTTTTTTGGTGAAGAAGAGCTATATGGAAACGTTGACGCCGCCAACCGAGAGTTCCTACTACTGACCCACTTCCAACCGGCATAGACCCCAAAAAAGCTTCAAATTGCAAGCACAGAGCACACACACACACACACACACAGCCGGCATTGCACTCAAAAACACACCCACACACACACTCACACACACCTACCCTGAATATTGCAATACGAACGCATCCCGCAAAAGATTCTCTATTCTCAGATTCTCGCTCGGAAAGTTCCCTTTTTCGAGAGGAGGGTTGACGCCAAAACGCTTTCCGGCTTTTCGAAAGCTTTTCATTTTGTGACTGCAACTAACGGTGATGCATTTGGTTTAGTATTTAAAATTCAACAAATGCTCTTTCTTCCCTTTTCGGTCATTTTTAGATGCGCAATCATGAATTTATTGGGCAAGGCTGTGCCTTTTTAATTCCTTAATAGCAGAATGAGGAAGTGCTTTGACAAGTTAAGAAAATGTCTGGTTTTTCATTTAAAAAGTGTAATTAATTTATTTTGCTTATATAAAATGGAAAGAATATATATGGGATATGGTATAATTGGAAGAATATTTATTAAAATAGAAGAAATAAAGTAATTACTTAAGAACTTTGAGTATAGACAGAAAATAATACTTTTTATTATTTTACCAGCAGCTTATTAGTTTCAGATTTTGTTTCTGTTCTAGTAATTAATTTAACTAATTATTACGATATTATTCTATTCATCTAAATAATCTTCCCAGAATAAATATACATATAACAAAGCATTAAACATATATTTCCCTTTAAATACTTCAAAGTAAATCCTCAAGTTTATTAATCCACAAAAGAAAGGGAGGATATCTCCCCCATTAGATTTCTACCGTATTTAGCTATCAATCAGTAGAAAATACCAGGAACTCTCGTTCTTATCAGGTTCCCTAACTCAAAAGTGATATCTCCACACCCCCCATCAAGTTGAGTGCATTAATCGCATAACCAGGAAATTCACTTTGATGGTCACTCTGGTTGGGTTATTGGGTAGGGTTTTTTGTTTGATTATGGACTCACCCAATCTATATAGGATCTATATGAGTGGTAACTACGACTAGAAGTGCTACCAACAACTCCCAAGAGAGAGAGATAGAGCCTGAAGTGGGGCCAAAAAGGAGCTACACACACTCGTAAGAAATCTCGTCTGCTCGTCGAACTGCACGCACGTAGAATGCGGACTGCCTGCAAATTCCCGTGCGAATTTTCCGAGCTCGTCGATCGGGCGACACGGATGCAAAATTGCAACACACTAAGAGTGTATCTGTCAGTGTGTGTGTGTGTGTGTGTGTGTGTGTGTGTGGGTGTGTGAGATTGATGCACTTGCACTTGCACTTGCGAATTGCATTTTGATTCTCGGTTCTGCGAGTGCGGAAATGTGCGAAAACGATATGCAGAAAGTGATTTCTTTTTTGGGTTTCACTAACAGATTTAACACAGCAAGAAAAAGTAAAGGTAATTAAATAGGAAAAGGTTCTGAATAAAAGGATAAATAAGTTAAACTGGATTTACTATACTTTCTGTTGGAATAATAAATATGATATATCAACAAAAGTATATATAATAAGACAATAAAAAGATTTAAATACTGTTCTATTAGTATTATATTTAGAGCTCCTTTAGAAATGTATATTAATGGTAGATAATTATGATATATAAACAATACTATATATAATAAGATAACAAGAAGATTTAAATACTGTTGTATGAGTATTATATTTCAAGCCATTTTAGAAATGCATATTATTGATAGATCGTTATCTATTTAGTTATTATTTTTTAACAAAACTTAGACAATTTGCTTTAAATTTGTATTTTCTGAAGAGGTTTTTAAAAAGGTTATAATATTTTAAAATCCAATCCAGTTTACCTTTAGTTTAATTGAATTCTAGTCACTGATTTTTCTCCACTTAGTTTCAGAATTTAATTACTCATAATTTATTGACAAAATACTTAATAGTACCACTTAATATCTCTCTGTGCATCATCCCTTGTCTGTGTAGGCGCCGCTAGCCAAAAATATGCAGACAAGATGAGGAAGACATTCAATTCTGATTCCCATTCCCATTCCCATTACCATTCCGCGATACTTTCGATTTTCGAGGGTGGGGCAAACCCTTGTCGCAATTACGACACTAGGAAGTCGAAAGTCTTGTCATGCACTGCGAGTACCGAGTGCCGTGCAAAAATCAACAAAACAACGAAAAAAAAAAAATTCTATTAAAATAAACAACTGCAATGTATCTGTGCAGTTGCATTTTGTAAACTGCACGAGCAGATAGCGCGCCAAAAAGCTTTTCGCTATCGCCATTCGCTATGAAAATGAAAATAAACAGCTGCACACACACACACACTTATGTACATACCTAAATAATATATACAGCATTAGAAACAAAAAGTAAAAATCCGCTTGGCGCTCTGCGTTTCTAATCATCGCACAATTGCATTTGAAGGACACACACTGAGAGAGAGCGCAACGCTAGGCGCATCAAATTAAAAATAAATAGCATACTCACACACAAGAGACATAATCAGGAAAAAGGGGAAAATAGCATACAGAATACAGAAAACTAAAGAAAATCAAAAGCCAGTGGCAACATTCAACTTGAACGCCGACGACCCGAGCGAGTGCACTTTGATAAGCGTTTGCGCTCACATTGCCACATCGCGCATACGCCCTGATGGCCGCTAATAATTGCCTGGCGAGTGAATAGAAAAAAACGAAATAAAGACTTCCGCGAAGCTCCTCTATGCTCACGTTCACTGCATCGATCTTTATCAAATTGCAAAATGCGGAAAGCGAGCCCCGAATGGGTTCGCTTGTTCAAGGACAAAGCGAACTGTACTAGACCGCATAGTACACTCTGTTCATAAACTATATACATTTATATATAACTATACTATATAGTGCTGTATATATGTCTGTGCACGTTCAACTGATAACTCTGACACTCTAGCAGAGAGAGAGATAGAGAGAGCGTTGCAGTCATAAATTCGCTTGCCATCTCGCTCTGTCTAAGTAGGAAATCAACGCTAAGTAGTTTCAATGAATAAACAAATTTAACGATGTATTTTCTTCAAGTGTAATGTAAATATTTATTGTAGGAGAATATGCAGGGACATGGAAGTGGGTAATAAAGGGGGTTTGCTGATTTTTAATAGGTTAAAGTAATAAGTAATTATTATTAAAGAACTTTGTCAAAAAGTTTGAGATTATTAAAGCATTAAATGTTTAATTTGTGGGCATATACAAATAATTATAAGCAAACTGTCCTACTGAGCTAAATGAAAAATATATATTCAATATTTTCACTTTTTATTTACCTCAAAAACATGCTATATAATTAATATTAATTGCACTAATTATTATATTAGCGAACTTGAATACTTTTTTAAAAAAACAAACTCGTAAAAGTAAAGTAATTAAAATCCTGTTTTGGAATATAATAATGATAATATATATATTACAATATGTATATAATATATATATATTGATATTGAATTTTAGGTATTACATTTAGTATTTTAATTTATTAATTCTCAATCTCATTGATAACTTTCCTCATATAGTTTTTTATAGTAATAAATACCTGTACTAATCAAATACGGAACCTAAAACCTATATGTTTCCTATTCAATTACTATGAGGTTTGCTAGAGGTTATTAGAAGGGTGATAAGCTACCACTATTTAATAAAGAAACTAATAAATATATTAAAACCATAGAATTTATATACCCGATAAGGTATAAATTATAACAGCAACTGTAAATTGTTAATCTCTGGACTATACAAAAACCCTGATTCCATTAAATTTAAAACCAGGAACTATGACATTTCGGATGACAAAATTCGAAGATCTTTTGCTATGGTCGATTCTATTATGACATTGAAAATTCGCTACACTTTCGAGGCTATTACAGCGTTTACATGGCGTATACGCGATATATTAGTTAATACCATATACACTCCATTGTTGACGGAGATGATTTGCAGGCGGCATTCAATAGGCTAATACCTAATACAGTCACACACACACACACACACAACCCGGAAATGTAAAATGGTGAGGGGGGAGGGGAGGGAAATTCGCATTTAGTTTTATGTGCATGCAAAACGAAACGAAAAGCGAAAAAAAATGAAAAATGAAACGAAGGGTGGTGAGGTGTAAGGGGCGGGGTGGTCAGGCAGCTGATAAAATAAAATTGTTCGCTATTTGCCTCACCAAGTGTGTGTGTGTGTGTGTGTCTGTCTCTCTCTCTTTCAGTCTGTGTGTAATAATAATAATTTGTGTGAGCTTTTCAGCGTCAAAGGGAACAAAAGGGGGTGCGACTGGGCATCATCATCATCATCATGATGATGATGATCATCTCATAACCTTGAGTCACAGCCCGAGAATGTGCATGCGAATTGAATGCGAAAACAATAACAACAAACAGCAAGAAATTTGCCACTGTACTCATCCGCATTGCACAGTGGGTGTCGTTGATTACCTAATCGCAGCTTCATGAAATTAATATCAAGTTGGTAAGGACACTGAGCAGAAGGTATGCGCCATATTTATATCTTCTATGCTGCCTGCAAAAGTATTGTGTTGCGGTTCCGTTGCACTTTAACCTTGAAAATCTTGTGTGCATTACTTGGTTTTTTTTTTTTTCTCTCTGGTGCGCATGTGCAAAACGAATGCAAGAGTGAGACGGGCTACTGCAGGCTACCCCAAAAAACAAACTCACACTCACACATTACCCCACTGTACAGTCAAGTCGTCTCGGATTTCGGCAGTTAATAAACGTAAATTTCAAGTCAATTAAAAATTCACTTCATTGCAGTCAGAGGGAGATGAAAAAAAGAAAAAAACAGACGAAAAACAATCACAATAAAAGCGAAAGTAT